AGACACTACCACTGCACCACAAGAGGGGCCCTGGTTGTCTTTAATATCTTGATAACTTCAATCAACTCTCCTCTTCACCTTCTAAATACCAGAGAGTATAACCCTGGTTTATGATCGCTCCTCTCCTGTAGGCAGAAGAGTTAAGTCACAAGAGCTGTTAACAAAGCTTTTCATGTGCACTAAATATAAATTCAGTTCTCTGCAGCATTACCCAAATGTTATGGAAGTTCTTATGCGTTAGAATTCTGTGTCTGGGCATTCGTAGTCTGGGCACTTTCATTGGAAGCAAATAAACCTGAAATGCATCACCGGTCCTCCATTTCTCTTTAATGCATTGGCTTCAGCAGCATTGAAAACTTATCAAATGAGCTACTGACTCCCTTGGGGGCCACCACTTCATATAAGTATAAATGAGCCGGGGACCGAGCCAGGAATCTGGGAGTAGTTGAGTTTGCTCCAGCTGGAAATCTCTCATCAGCTTAGATCCTTCCATATTGTACTTTCTACATTTTTCTTCCAAGGACTTTTGATTAGTATCCAACTCTGAGACCTCTTTATGACTGTTTTTGGTGTCAGCCTTGACTCAGTAGGTAGCACAGTCACCTTTGCGTAAGAAGGTCAGGAGCTGTTCCAAAAGCTGGGGAATACAGTTCATGCTGGTACTCCCAGTGCAGAACAAAGAGTCACGCAGGCTCTTGTTTTCTCTCTTTGGATGCAGCCTGACCCTCTGTGATCTCCAGAACTTTTTGTTTTCAGTGCAAAGGGACTATAATGCTATTAGAGTGACTGCCAGAAACCAAGACCCCCTCCAGTCCTCTCAGGAGGATGTTAATGATCCAGAGGCACTACTTCAGAGAGGGGCATGGGAGCTCTCCCCATTGTTCTGATTAATACAAAGACCATAAGCTGTAGGAGCAGAACTAGGCCATTCAGCCCATCAACTCTACCATTCAGTGAGATTACTTATCAGATAGTCCTCAATTCCACTCCCTACCTTTTCCCCGTAATCCTTATTGATTAAAATCTGTCTATCTCAACCTTGAATATACTTAATGACCCAGCCTCAACAGCCCTCTGCAGCAAACAATTCCACAGATTCACCATGCTCAGAAAAAAAAAAATCCTCCATGCTTTATGCTGAGATTATACCCTCTGGTCCCTCAAGTGGAAACAATCTCTCTGTTCCGAAGAGGTATCATGCCGGAATCAAATGTTAATTCTGTTTTTCTCTCCAGAGATGCTAACAGACCTGCTGAGTTTCTCCAGCCCACTTTTGGAATACTGAGTTCAATTCTGATCATCCTTCTGTAGGAAAGATGTTGTTAAATTTGAAAGGGGTGCAGAAAAGATTTACATGCATATGGCTGGGACTGGAGGGTTTGAGCTAAAGGGAGAGGCTTAATAGACTGGGGTTATTTTCCCTGGAGTATTGGAGGCTGAGAGGTGATCTTATAGAGGTTTATAAAAACATGAGGGTCATGGATAGAGTGAATAGCCAAGGTCTTTTCCCCAGGATAGGGGAGTCCAAAACTAGAGCGCATATGTTTAAAGTGAGAGGGGAAAGATATAAACGAAACCTAAGGGGCAGCTTTTTCACTCAGAGATTGGTGCGTGTGTGGATTAAGCTGCCAAAGGAAGTGTTGGAGGCTGGTACAATTACAACATTCAACAGGCATCTGGAAGTGTACATGAATAGAGGGATATGAGCCAATTGCTGGCAAATGGAACTAGATTAATTTAGGATATCTGGTCAGCAAGGACAAGTTGGATCTAAGGGTCTGTTTCCCTGATGTAAGATGCTATGACTCTATTACACAGTGTTGGTTTCTCTCTGCAGTTACCTTGTCAAACTCACTTTGAATCTTGTATGTTTCACTTCTGTCTACTCTCATTCTTCTAAACTACAATGAGTACAAGCTCAAGCCCCTAAGCAAATCCCTCCACACCCTGGATCAATCTAACAAGCCTTCTCTGGGCTGCCTCCAATGACAGCACATGTTTCCTTAGATAAGGAGTCCAGAACGGTTCACAATCTGTGGAAAGAAAGTTTCAGATCCACGACCCTTCTTCAGAATAGGCCCAAAATGTTAACTCTGATTTCTCTTCACAGATGCTGCCAGATCTGCTGAGTTTTTCCAGCAATTTGTGTTTTTCTTTCTGATTTTCAGCTTCTACAGTTCTTTGGATTTTTTGTTTTGGGTTCACAATCCATTCCTTCCAAAGATTTGGTGCTCAATGCATGTTAAAGCAACGTTGTCACTTTATCTATTTATTTTAGTTCAAGCAGTTTGTGAATTCAAATTTTTAAATTAACATCTTAATAATTCATAGTTTTTTTAAAAAATCTCATGCTTTGGATCTTGAAATCATCTGGAATGAGCCACAGAGTGATAGAGCTGTACAGCACAGAAACAGACCCTTTGGCTAAACTCGTCAATGTTGACCAGATATCCTAAACTAATCTAGTCCCATTTGCCAGCATTTGGCCCATTACTCTCCAAACCCTTCCTATTCATGTAGCCCATCAAGATGCCTTTTAAATGCTGTAATTGTACCAGCCTTCACCACTTCCTCTGGCAGCTCATTCCATACACGCACCACCCTGTGAGTGAAAAAGTTGCCCCTGATGTTCCTTTTAAATCTTTCCCCTCTCACCTTAAACCGGTGCCCTCTAGTTTTGGACTCTCTACCCTGGGAAAAGACATCTATTTTAGCCTCTACATGCCTCTCATGATTTTATAAGCCTCTACAAGGTCACCCCTCAGCCTCCAGGGATGCTCCAGGGAAAATAGCCCCAGCTTGTTCAGCCCCTACCTATAGCTCAAACCCTCCAGGCCCGGCAACATCCTTGTAAATCTTTTCTAAACCCTTTCAAGTTTTACAACATCTTTCCTAAAGCAGGGAGACCAGAACTGAATGGAATATTCCAAAAGTGATCTAACAGTGTTCTCTACAGCCGCAATGATTTTTAAAATGGAATCCTAGTTTCTCAGGAAAGCATTGGTCAGTATGTATCAAGTTTAGCTAAAAGATCAAAAATTGGTCTGCTTCTTTTTCCACAAACGTTGCCATTATCACTCAATGTCCACTGAAAGACAGTTCTGATGCTTGTATCTTTGTGGGATTTTACTGTGCAAAAGTGGCTTTATTTGATTAAAAGAAAATCACCTTTGGGATATAGGTGCCACTGTCCAGGGCAGCTTTTATTGGGCATCACAAATTGGTCTTGAAACGATCATGGTGAGCTGCCTTCCTGAACTCCTGCAGCGCATGTGGTATAACTCCACTCAGAGCGAGGTGAGGAAAAGGGATTGTGGGACTTGCACTCAGTCACAGAAAACCAACAACGGTATTGTTCCAATTCAGGGTGTTGTGGTACTCCCATGGATCTGCTGTCCTTGCCTTTCGAGGTGGTAGAGATCATGGATTTAAAATGTATTGTTGAAGTACGTCGGTGAGTTATAGAATTTTACAGTATAGAGCGTGGCCATATGACCCATCGTGGCTGTCCTGGCTCTCAAAATAGCTACCCAGCTAGTCCCACTCTCCAGCCCTATCTCTATAGACCTCTAACATCATCACTTTCAAATATATATCCATCTCTCTTTTGAAATCTCCTGTGGAATCTGCCTCCATCACTCTCCAAAGCAGTGCATTCCAAATCCTAACCTCTCTCTGCATAAAGAAGTTTCTCCTCATCTCACTCCTAGCTCTCTTGTTAACAATTTTGAAATTTTGACCCCCTAGTTACTGACATACCAACTAGGGGAAACAGAATATCTTTCTTTACCCTGTCAAAATTGTTCATTATTTTGAATACCTCCAATGAGGTGACCTCTTAATCTTGTCTGCTCCAAGGAGAATAAGACTAATTCCTCTAATCTTTCCTTGTATCTAAAATCTCTTATTCCTGATATAATTCTGGTAAATCCCCTTTGCACCTCTCTCGGAACTTTAATGTTCTTGCTTAAATAAAGTGCCCAGAACTGAATGCAAGACTCCAAATGTGATCTGACCGCATTGCTGGTAGAAATCCCACCTGCCTCAGACATGTGTCATAACATATCTGAACAGGTTGACTGAAAAATATTTGCACTCTGCTACCCCTGTCAGAGAGTCACAGAGTCTACAGTACAGGAAAAAGGCCCTTCAGCCTTCCATCTGCATCCAATGACTCTACTCCCATTTCCCAGCTCTTGGCTCATAGTATGGATCATGGAAGAAGTGAATGTTGAAGGTGGAAGATGGGGTACCAGTCAAGCAGGTTGCTTTGTCCTGGATGGTGATGAGCCTTTTGAGTGTTGTTGGAACTGTTTTCATAACTGATTTCCCTCTGTCTGTCTTTTTTGGCTGGAAAGCATTAAAGGGGCGTCTTCCTCAAACATGGCCTGAAAATGTTTGAATGAGCTAATGCCTGGGCCATCCTATATACGAGCCAGCTGTTGTAAAGGTTCCTACGTTCCTGCATTCCCTGATAACTGGGCTGCCGTGACCTTTCCACCTGTACTGAGCAATACCTGCCGGGAATGTGTGTTCACCACACTCACTGTCACGATAGACACTAAAAGGTCAGCCACTCGGGTCAGTCGTCCAGTGGAAGAGACCTCCCATCAGAATGAATAGACCAATAAGTAACTCCAGACTGGACATGGGCTGCCCCTTAACCCTCACTGCCCACCTGGGGAACTTCCGTAGTTTGTTCAAAGTCCTATCTGGCATCTTGACTGACACACCTCTTGTCCAGGAAGTAACAGGTCAAAATTGTGCATAGTCAATGAGGAAACAGTTGCTCCAACAACAATTTGATTCATTATCCAGACTCTGTTCAGTACAGCCTTATCTTCACTGGCCGATTTTGAGACTTTAAGACTATTTTTACAAAATGAGTACAGGCCCAGATTATGGCAGAATATTTATCTCTTTGGGAACTGGGTCAGTTTGTGGCAATTGCATTTCAAGGGCAAACTAAATGCATTATGAGAACTGTTTCTCTCTTTCAGGTGATGTCCTTGGACCTTCCATCAATGGAATCGAGGACCTTCTTCAGATGCCTTATGGATGTGGTGAACAAAATATGATCAGATTTGCTCCAAACGTGTATATTTTGCAATACCTAACAGCCATTAACCAAGTTAATGAGGAGATTAAGGAGAAGGCTTTGTCGTATTTGATGCAAGGTGGGTTTTGTCCTTTGATGATTGTGACAGTGGGGCTGACAGCCACATGGGCAGGAGGAGGAATGTTCAGACTGCTGGAAGCCCTGAAAAAAAGGACTGGATAGATCCAGATTCGGGAAAATCTGAAGTATTGGCTTAGGGAGGGTTTTGAAAGCTCGGGGGCATGAGTGGGTGGTGATGGAGTTTTGGAGAGTGGGTTTTTCAGAGCCAGCAGTTGGGAAGTAAGGGAGGTGTACTATCATCTGATGAGATGGGGAGTGGTGTCGTTGTAAAGGGCACTCCCAGTGGACAGTAACACCCCTTTCTTCCCTCCATTTTAAAGCTTCCTTACACAGGTAGTATGCCCACTCCCATGCAACTGCCATACCAGCTGGGGTTTGGTGAGGACAGGGTGGATGGAGCTGCTACCGATCCCAATAACTCTTAATTATTTATTTACAAATGGTGGATAGGTTTCTTATTTTAGCATCTGCCCAACCTCTATTATTGGGTCAATGTGCGCCAACAAAAGTAAGTCAGACTTTGCAAATTCCTCCTGCACATTGTTAAGCCTGTTCTGTCCATTTCTATATATTGCCTTTCTTCCGAAATGGCAGCACAAACATAAGTGCACAAGAAAAACGAGCAGTATTAGACAAGACTGAATGGAGAGCCATCTGCACCTATTTTTTAATTCACTCATGGGACATGGGCTTCGCTGGCAGGCCAGCATTTATTGCCTGTCCCTGGTTGCCCCTTGAGAAGGTGGTGGTGAGCTGCCTTCTTGAACCGCTGCAGTCCATGTGCTGTAAATAGACACATGTTAGGGAAAGTGTTCCTGGATTTTGACCCTGTGACACTGATGGAATGACAATATATTTCCAAGTCAGGATGGTGAATGGCTTGGAGGGAAATTTGCAGGTGGTGGTGTTCCCATGTATCTGCTGCCCTTGACCTTCTAGCTGGAAGTGGTTGTGGGTTTGGAAGGTGTTGTCTAAGGATTGTTGATGAATTTCTGCAGAGCATCTTGTAGATAGTACACACTGCTGCTACTGAGCGTCAGCAGTGGAGAGAGTGGATGTTTCTGGATGTGGTCTCAATCAAGCAGGCTACTTTATCCTGGATGGTTTCAAATTTCTTTACTGCAGAGTGTAGATCTGAGCCGTTGGTTGTAGGATCTCTTAACTCTGTCTATTATTTGCTGCTTATGCTGTTTTGCATGCAAGTAGTTCTGTTTGGTGGCTTCAGCAGGTTGACACCTTATTTTCAGGTATATCTGGTGCCGCTCCTAGCATGCCCTCCTGCACTCTCCATTCAACCAGGGTTGATCCCCTGGCTTGATGGTAATGGTTGAGTGAGGGATATGCCGGGCCATGAGGTTACAGATTGTGCTGGAGTACAATTCTCCTGCTTTTAGCAACCTTACAGCGTCTCGTGGATGCCCAGTCTTGAGTTGCTAGATCTGTTCAAAGTCTGCCCCGTTTGGCACGGCGATAATGCCACACAACACGATGGAAGGTGGGACTTTGTCTCCCAAACGACTGTGCACTGGTCACTCTTACCGATACTGTCATGGCAGATTGGTAAGGATAAGATCAAGTATGTTTTTCCCTCTTGTTGGTTCCCTCACCACCTGCCGCAGACCCAGTCTAGCAGCTATGTCCTTTAGGACCCCGACCAGCTCGATCTGTAGTACTTCTGCCGAGCCACTCTTGGTGGTGGACATTGAAATCCCCCACCCAGAGTACATTTTGTGCCCTTGCCATCCTCAGTGCTTCTCCAAGTGTTGTTCAACATGGAGGAATACTGATTCACCAGCTGAAGGAGGATAGTACGTGGTAATCAGCAGGAGGTTTCCTTACTCATTTTTAACCTGAAGCCATGAGACACCATGGGGTCCAGAGTCAATGTTCAAGACTCCCAGAGTAACTCCCTCCCGACTGTAAACCAATGCTGCCACCTCTGCTGGGTCTATCCTGCCATGGGGACAGGACATTTCCAGGGATGGTGATGGTGGTGTCTGGAACATTAAAACGGTCATAGTTGAGCATGGACTTGAAATACACTTTCCTCCAACTCCCCATCTCCCTGGATCAAAAATCTGTCTACCCCAACTTTCAATCTCTACAAAAGATGGATCAACTACAATGATTTGGTATGGAACCTTCTAAAGACTCACAACCATTTAATTAAAGAAATTTCTCCTCATTTCAGCCCTGAATGATCAACACTTTATCCTGAGCCTGTGCCCTATGTTTTAGATTCCCCAGTCAGCAAAAAAAGTTTTCATGCTGTCTTATTCTCTCTGTCTCTCATTGTTACATTATCCCCTGTCAAACCCCTTCCCAGCATTATGTAGTTCAATGAGATTGTTCTTCGAAACTCCAGAGATTATAGGTCCAATTTGCTCTGTCTCTCGCCATTGGTCAGTTCTCTCATCCCCTGGGACCTACTTATTGAAACTTCACTCCAACACAAGTCTATCCTTCCTATCTGACCCCCTACCATCAATGGTTGGATTCAATTTCCCTCTCAGTCTCCATCCAGTTGTCAGTTTATAATCTTGTTATTCAGGTTACCAAAGGGAGTTGACATACCAAAGATCGGATGGTTCCTTCAGTGCTTTTGGAAATTCTGATCCTTCCGGAAGTACTTGGTAAGAAATTTTTTGGCGCAAAATAACTGAATGCCCCTTCCATTTATACCTCTGGTTACAAAGCTCTCATTCACTTGGTTGTGGAAACAACCCAAAAATATTCTGTTGCACGGTTTATAACTATTTTCTTCAGTTTAATTACTAAAGAAGGCTAAGGGGATTGCTATCAAATGTTAGGAAGGAATGACCAATTCACACGAGTAAATATGAATGATTTTCTTCTTTCTCCCTGTCTCGGTGTCTCATTCTGTCTTGGTCCCTCATTTTCTTACTCTCCTTCACTGTCTCTTGGACCCTTGCTCTCTCATGCTCTCTCTCCCACTCTTTCAGTCTTCCTCACTTTTTCTCTCTTGCTGTTTTGTTCTCTCTCCTACTATCTCAATCTCTCTCTCCCGCTATCTCATTCTCTCTCTCCCCTGCTTTCTCATTCTGTCTGTCTCACACTCATTCTCTCTCCCACTGTTTCATTCTCTCTCTCTCCCACTGTTTCATTCTCTCTCTCACTGTCTCATTCTCTCTCTCACTTCTCATCCTTTCTCTCTCACTCTCTCCTTCTCTCTCTCCTGCTGTCTCACTCTCTGTCCTGCTGTCTCATTCTCTCTCTCCCGCAGTCTCACTATCTCATTCTCTCTCTCTCCCACGCTCTCAATTTATCTCTCCTGCTGTTTCTCACTCTCCCTTTCCTCCTGTCTCATTCTCTCTCTCTCATTGTCTCACTCTCTCACTCTCTTTCCTGCTGTCTCACTCTTTCTCCTTTGTCTCATTCTGTCTCCCTTGCTGTTTCACTCTTTCTCCATTTCTCTCTCTCTCTCTTGTTTTGATGTTGCTGCCATCAGCACTTTACTACAATTTCCTGTTTTGCTCCTGCTAAGCACCACACATCTTACCCTTCATGTTCTCAACAGGGGTGCGTTAGAAAGGACCTCCTGACACACAATTTGCGAATAAATACAATAGCTTCCTTTGCTCCTCCTTTCATACACTTCCTCCTTAAATATTGATGAGGATGTTAAGCAGTTGGCTGCAGATTTTGAAGAGCTGCAAACACACAATATGCACGTTTTGAAGGAAGGAATATCACATACAATGGATGTATAAGCACTGAGTTCCATTACTCACATTTTTAAAAACGGTTAAAGTACAAGTGATTCAAAGATAAACATTGCTAATTTTTGACTGAACTAAGCCTTTTTGTGGTCAGCAAGTCTTGCAAGGCAGTAAGTGACATTGGCAAACCTCTAACATTTCACATCCACTTAAACCAGCCTTTCAGCTAACAGCTTTTCACAGTCTACTGAGATTTGTTTATTGACACTGTCCAGCTCTTAAAGGACTCAAGTTTCAGAAACCATGTTACTGGTCTGGGAAAACAGAGTGTTGCCTTATGTCAAATATATTTTCTTTTGCTGCATCTAACCTTCTTGGGCAGATGACATCACGGTTATGTCAGTAGATTAGAAATTCAGATGCCCAGGCTAATGCTGTGTGGGTAGTGGTTTAAATCTCCATGACGATATTCACTTCTTACATCTGGAATATACAGCTGGTCAAATGTGACCATGAGAGCATTGTTGATTGTTGTAAAAACCCATTAACCTCACTGTTGTACTTCAAGGAAGGAACCTGGTGGCCTTATAAGGCCTGGCCTATGTGTCACTCCAAATGTAGCTGGCACCGAAATAGTTTAGCAAACCACTCAGGCCAGGGGCAATGAGGGATGGGCAACAAATACTGGCCCTGCTAGTGACACCCACATCCCACAAACTAGTAAAGAAAGACTCAAGGCTCTGGACAGCAGTTGACTGACCATAAGGTATAGGAGCAGAATGAGGCCATTTGGCCCATCAAGTCTGTTCTGCCATTTGATCATGATTGACATGTTTCTCAACCTCATTCTCCTTCCTTCTCCCACTGCCCCCATTAATGACTGTCTGCTGAAGCTGTCTCCATCATCCTCAAAGCAGAACATTCCAGGTGCGCAATCTGTTCAATTTGTTTTTGCATGGCAATGGTTTCTGGAAGTGGAAGCCAATATATCTGCACACTGAGATCCTCCCAGTGACTGTGAATAGGAGGAATGTTGTTCCAGGCCATGACATCTCACTGTGTAAAAAGAATGAAGCATTTCCCATCTCACCTCTGGCCACTTGCCTGTAATCTGTGTCCTTTATTCTGATCTCGCTCTCAGATATCAGATGACATGTTTCTGAGTCTTCCCTGTAAATCAATATCTTATATGGGCAGCCCCTGGCTTTAGGTTTCTTCAAATATGGCTTTAATTTTTCACTTGTCGAATCCTTGAGTAACTTTAAGGATTCCTATCAGGCCATCAGTATTCTCAACCCTAGAGAAAAGAGACCCAGACTGTTCATTCTTTCTTAGTCGATACAATCACAGAATTATTACGGTACAGAAGAGACCATTCAGCCCATCGTGTTTACACTGGCCTTTCACACGAGCGTCATTACCTAGTAACAATTTTTTGCCTTGTCCCCATATCCTTACACGCTATTTCTGTCCAAATTTTCATCCAATGCCCCCTTTGAACCTGTCTCCCCCACATTTCTTGGCAGTGCATTCCACGTCCTAGCTACTCATTGAGAGAAAAAGATTTTTCTCACATCATATTTGCTCCTTTTTACACATCGCTTTAAATCCATGCCCTTTCATTCTTGTTTCAATCACAAACAGGAATTTTTTCTTTCCTTTATTCATTAACGAGATGAGGGCATCACTGGCCAGGCAGCATTTATTGCCCATCCCTAATTGCCCAGATAGCAGTTGAGAGTCAACCACATTGCTGTGGGTCTGGAGTCACATGTAGGCCAGACCAGGTAAGGATGGCAGTTTCCTTCACTACATGACATAAGTAAACCAGATAGGTTTTTTCCCAATAATCGGCAATGGATTCATGGTCATCATTAGACTCTTAATTCTAGATATTTTATTGAATTTAAATTCCACCATCTGCCATGGCGGGATTTGAACCCGGGTCCCCAGAACATTGTCTGGTCTCGGGATTAATAGTCCAGCGATAATACCATTAGGCCTTCGTTTCCCCGATTTCTCCCTATCTACACTGTCCAGCCCACACACGCTTTTAAAAACTTTTTATCAAATCTCCTCATGGCCTTCTTCCTTCCATGGAAGAACAGTCCCAACTTCTTCAATCTATCCTGGTCACTGAAGTTTCTCATTTCTGGAACCGTTCTTGTCAATTGCTTCTACACTCTCCAATGCGTACACATCTTTCCTGTAATATGTTGCCCACACTGTGCCCAATACTCCAGCTGAGGTCTAACAAGTGTCTTGTCCAAGTTCAACATCACCTCCTTGCACTTGTATTCAATGCCCTTACAGTTGGTTCTGCTATAACGTGATAGTTCCATTCTTGTGTGATTCATTATGAGAAAATCGCACAACAGCCACATTATTTAAACAAATGAGGCTGGAATCACATCATAGCCAATACATGTAAGGAAAGTTTGATCATAGAATCCCTACAGTATGGAAACAGACCCTTTGACCCAACAAGTCCACACTGACCCTCAGAGCATCCCACCCAGACCCATCCCCCTATAACCAACCTAATCTACACATCCCTGAACACTATGGGCATTTTAGCACGGATAATCCAACCAGCCTGCACATCTTTGGACTGTGGGATGAAACTGGAGCACCCAGAGGAAACCCGGGCAGGAACACGGAGAACGTGCAAACTCCACACAGTCAGCCGAGGGCAGAATTGAACCCAGGTCCCTGGTGCTGTGATGCAGCAGTGCTAACCACTGAGCCACAGTGCCATGGTCTAAGTTCTTCAATTGTGTTAAAGCCAATTCGCATTGAAGAAACGTGTGTTATAGCAGAACCGACTGCATTGATAAAGCCAAGAACACTATATGTTTTATTAACTGCCATCTACACCAGCTCTGCCACCTTCGAAGATCTGTGCGCTTATATTCCCAGGCCCCTCTGCTCCTGTAACCTCTTTAGAATGTATCCTCTGTTTTATCTTGTCTTGTAGTATATTCTTGCAGGCCTGGGTATGTCGTTGTAAACCTTTGCAGCACGTTAGTCTCCATGTCTTTATCTGTTTCATATGGATTAAATGTCTTTTCTTACCTTCTGTAAAGGCTGTCAGCCTTTGTGCTAAGGTGCTTCTTGCAGGCACAGGATTTCATTTACATTGACACGATGGTTTTGGAAGAGACCATTTCCTGGATACTCAGACATCAGAATAAAAACGGTGAATTCCAGGAGCCTGGACGAGTTATCCACTCGGAGTTACAGGGTGGACAGAGTGGACCTGTAACTTTGACTGCCTACATACTGACAGCTCTTTTGGAGGATCAGAATTACATGGTATGTCTCTGTATCCTTTCCTCACAATTTATTATTCAACAAACAGAGAGGCATGTTTAAAAGCTGACTGTGTGTATATTGTGGAATATCCAATGTCATACTTTCATACACAGTGGGAATGTCTGGTGCATCAGAGCTATATACACATTTATTGCTTTACCAGTCTGAGGACGGAGCTGAAATCAGAGTATAGACAGTACTCGATGAGCCCTCGTAAAGCAAAATGTCTTCCATTCGGTGTGAATTGGACAGCACTTACAGCAACCAATTTAAGATCATCAGTTGAATTCACTTCTCATGAGGAGCAAATAGGTTCTTTGTGATCTGTTCTCTATAAGCAGATAGGACATGTTGAAGAGATAGTAGGAACTGCAGATGCTGGAGAATCTGAGATAACAAGGTGTAGAGCTGGATGAACACAGCAGGCCAAGCAGCATCAGAGGAGCAGGAAAGCTGACGTTTCGGGTCTGGACCCAAGGGCATGTTGAATTGTTGAGGCTTTTATGAGTTACCCATGAGCTTGAAGGGCCTACAGCTCATCATTGCTTTCTCCATGGCATTGCCTCAGCCTGTCAGAATCAACTTGTTAACCAATCAGCATCTTTTCTCCTGTAATATAAGCTGTTGTGATTGTTTGGAATTTGGTATTCTTGTATTTGTCCTGTAGAGTGGGCATGGGGACATAGTGGTTAGCACTGCCTCACAGCGCTAGGGTTTGATTCTAGCCTCGGGCGACTGTCTGTGTGGAGTTTGCACATTCTCCCCGTGTCTGTGTGGGTTTCCTCCGGGTGCTCTGGTTTCCTCCCACAGTCCAAAGATGTGCAGGCTAGGTGGATTGGCCATGCTAAATTGCCCCATAGTCTGCAGGCTGCGTGGGTTAACAATGTTAAATGCGGGGTTATGGCAATAGGGTAGGGTGCTCTTCACCAGGTCAGTGCAGACTTGATAGACCAAATGGCCTCTATCTGAACTGTAGGGATTCTATGAGTGCAAGGTGAAAAGTTTGAACTTTAGGCCTGTCATTTCAGCAAAATTCAGGTTCAGTCCTGTTAAGTGACTGTTTACTATTCAATGGCCACTAGTGCTTTGGAGCGCAATTACATCTCTTCCCCACTATTCCTCCCCATACCCATCTGGTGTTGCAGATTTCCCTCCTTACCCCATTCCCTCCATTGCTAAAAGGCCATAAGATTGTATGATATAGGAGTAGAAATAGCCCATTTGGCCCATCAGGCCTGCTGCACCATTCAAAGAGATCCCGTCTGGTCTGTTGATCCTCACTTCCACTTTCCTGCCTTTTCCCCATAACCCTTGATCCCCTTACTGATAAAAAGTCTAACTCAGTCTTGTACATCCAGTCAATCTGTCTTTTCTTGCTCCACCAACAAAATTCAATTTTAGTGGATAATTTTTGACTTTGTTTTTGAAGAAAGTTGAGTAAGGCCGTGAGAAACTACAGAGAGTTGTGACCACAGCCCAGTCCATCACGTAAACCAGCCTTCCATCCACTGACTCCATCCATACTTCCTGCTGTCTTGAGAAAACAGCCAGCATACTCAAAGACCCCTCCCACCCCGTTTATACTTTCTTCCACCTTCTTTCATCGGGCAGAAGATATAAACGTTTGTATACGTTTACAAACAGATTCGGGAACAGCTCCTTCCCCACTGTTATCAGAATGCTGAATGGACCTCTCAAATTTAATGTTGATCTCGCTCTTTGCGCACCTTCTCTGCAGCCGTAACATTGTATTCCTCGCTCTGTTCTATTACCCGAATGCACTTTGTGTGGTATGATCTGCCTGTACTGCACACAAAACAAAACTTATCACTGTACTTAGGTGCACTTGACATTAATAAATCAAATCAAAATCAAATATTCACAAAAGGCTGATAAGGTTCTTTAAACAAAACAAAACAAGCTTGTTAAAACAAATAAACAGTTTACTGGTAAGACCAACCTTTATAGCTGCCCCCGATTGTGTTTGAGTTTGGAGTGGTGAGCCACCTCATTGATCCACTGCAGTGGATGTGTTGAAGCATTCCCATGATAGAAAGTGAGGAGCCATGGGGTAGGGAGGGAACAGGACGGGTCAGGGTACTGCGTGAAGATTCAATGTTACTGCTGCTCCCACCCTGCTTTGTCACAGGGGGTTACAGCACTGTGAGGTGAAACAAGTGATCCGGTTGAAATGCTGGAATGCATCCTGTAGAAGATTCTCAGTGAATGCTGCCGTGTGTCACTGGTCAGGGGGTTGGATATTGAGTGCAGCTTGCCTCCCAGTTTATAATACGTTGATATGACAAGAATGGGCCACTTTAACCTCATGTGTGAAACCCCACTGTTTGATAAAAATGTTGGTACCCAGCCCCAGAAAATGATGGATAACAAATGGAGACAAGAGAAAATAATTCCCATCCATAGTTAATTACTAGAGGCAGCTCTGCGATCCAACACAAATAGCAGTTTGATCTTAATAAAACTGAAAGAGCTGCGGATGCTGTGAATCAGGAACAAAGACAGAAGTTGCTGGAAAAGCTCAGCAGGTCAGACAGCATCTGTGAAGGAAAAGTCAGAGTTAATGTTTTGGGTCTGGTGACCCTTCCTCCGTTCTGAAGACTGGAAGATAGGAGGAGCATAAATAGGCCATTCAGCCCATCAAGTCTGCTTTGCCATTCAATGAGATTATGGCTAATCTGTTAATTCTCAACTCCACTTTTCTGCCTCTTTTCCCCATTCTCTTCCCAATTAAAAGTCTGCCTGTCTCAGTCTTGAATATACTGACCATGATTTAAATGCTGTTTCTTCCAGAGCAAAATTTTAGGCCAGGTGTCAGACGCTGTGAGGTATCTCGAAGCCAAGCTGCAAGATGAAATCAATAGCAACTACAGTCTGTCTCTTGTGACTTACGCTTTAACCTTGGCCAATAGCAGCTATGCATCGCAAGCTCTGAATGAGTTAAACCAACGGGCAGATAAGCAAGGTATGGTAGAAAGTCAGCATCTTGAAATAGCACAAGTTTTATCAATGGTCTGGAATTGTCCTCGATCAGATTTAAAGAGTGGACTTTGGGAATTAAACACTGAACATAGAAAGGCAGATTTGTTTTGGCTGTCTGTCTCTATGTAGTAATAAGGGATTCAGTCATAGAGTCATACAGCACAGAAACAGACCCTTCAGCCCACACCAACCATAATCCCAAACTAAACCAGTCCCACCTGCCTGCACTTGGCCCATATCCCTCCAAACATTTCTTATTCATGTACTTATCCAAATGTCTTTTTAAACATTGTAACTGTACCCGCGTCCACCACTTCTTCAGGAAGTTCATTCGACACATGAACCACCCTCTGTGTAAAAAAAAAAGTTTCCACTCATGTCTTCTTAAAACTTTCTCCTCTCATCTTAACAATACTCCCCCAGTCTTGAAATTCCCACCCTAGGGAAAAGACACCTGCCATTCACCTTATCTATACCCCTCTTGATTTTATAAACCTCTATAAAGTTACACCTCAACCTCTTACACCCCAGTGAAAAAAATTTCCAGTCTACCCAGCATCTCCTTATAACTCAAGCCCTCCATTCCTGGCAAATTTCATCTGAACTCTCTCCAGCCTAATAATATCCTTCTTATAACAAGGTGACCAGAACTGGACACAGTACTCCAGAAGAGGCCTCACCCATGTCTCGTACATAGAATCCCTACAGTGTGGAAACAGGCCCTTTGGCCCAACAAGTCCACACTGAACCACAGAGCATCCCACCCAGACTCAACCGCTATAAACCCACCTAATCTACCCATCCCTGAACACTATGGGCAATTTAGCATGGCCAATCCACTTAGCCTGCACATCTTTGAACTGTGGGAGGAAACCCATGCAGACACAGGGAGAATGTGCAAACTCCACACAGACAGTCACCTAAGGATGGATTTGAACCCAGGTCCCTGGTGTTATGAGGCAGCAGTGCTAACCACTGAGCCACCATGCCGTACAACCTCAATGTATTGTCTCAACTCCAATATTCAAAGGTCTGAGCACTGAAGGCAAGCGTGCTAAATGCCTTCTTAATCGCCCTGTCTACCTGTAATGCAAATTTCAAAGAATTATGTCCCTGGACCCGAAGATCTCTCTGTTCTACAACACTATCCAAGGCCCTACTTTTAATGGTATAAATCCTGCCCTTGTTTGTTTTACTAGAAAGCTTTGTGCCCCTTTGCTCCCTTGGATATCTTGCATTAACAGTGTTCATTGTGGCCCACAGCTACCTGATTCTCTGTTGCCTGTGAATACACAGAAGTGCCTATCTACATTTTGCAAAGGATCATTGACACAACGGACATTGCAATGGCCTGGAGTGGGTTATGGTCACATACGTGATGGTATAATTGCAAATGAGCCTGCGCTCTGCAGATTAATGCAATTGTACCTTCTGTCACACAGAGGTAGAGCTGATGGTAGCGGAGGTTGTAGACTTTAGAAGGTGCAGTTGAGGAACTGACAGATTGCCCAGTTGGTGGTACACTCTGCAGTCACAGTACACTGCTGGTAGCAGGAATGAATGTTAAAGCTGTTGGATGGGGTACTGATCAGATGGACTGATTTGCTCTTGAATGGTATTGAGCTTCTTGATTTTTTTTTAGCATTTTCTTATTTTTGTTCTTTTCCATGGTGTTGCCAGCTGTGCTTTAAGCTGGCAGGGCCTGAATCTCTGGAATTCCTTCCCTAAACATTACCCCCTCTAGTCTCCCCTAAATTGTTCCTCATAACTTACCCCATTGACCTATTGGTCACCTGTCTCACTACCCCTCTTTCTGACTCAGCTTGTGGCCTGGTCACAATTCCCAATGGGCTATTGTTTAAGTTCAAAGCCCTTGCATCAGTAGAAGTTTTTGTTGTTCCAATGTCACCTATTCATTGCAAAGGGAGAACATTTCTATTGCATTTCATTGAATTCCCCCTCCCCAAAAAACTGAGTATCAGCAATATCAATCCTGCTTTATGCAGGAATCAATTCCATCCAATTACTCCATGGATGAAATGGGCCAAGGCAGAACTTTTTATATTCATTCGCAGGATGTGGGCATCTCTGGCTGTATCAGCATTTATTGCCCATCCCTAATTGCCCGGGGGCAGTTGAGTCATCCACATTGCTGTGGGTCTGGAGTCACATGTTGGCCAGACCAGGTAAGGATGGCAGTTTCCTTCCCTAAAGGGCATTATTGAACGAGATGGGATTTTCCTGACAACTGACAGTGGATTCACAGCCATCATTAGACTCCAGATTTTTTTTAATATATGGAATTCAAGTTCCACGATCTGCAGTGGCGGGGATTTGAACCTGGGTCCCCTGAACAGTGCACCAATCATATCTCAAGGCATTCGCCTCCCCACAACTTCCTGTTGACCAGCCTATTCCTGAGTCAGTGTTGCTTATTGTCTTTCTTGCTCGTCACAGATGGTGTCAGGTTTTGGTCGTCTCCTCCGAACACACCCGTCCCGCTGTGGAGCCACCGACCCCTTTCGTCAGATATCGAGATAGCTGCCTATGCTCTGCTCTCACACCTGAGGCAGGGCAAGCTGCTGGAGGGCATTCCCATTATGCACTGGCTCAGTGAACACAGGAACCATCTTGGAGGCTTCTCCTCAACGCAGGTAAACCGCACCCTGATTCTCATCCAACAAAAAAGAAATCAGACAACTGCAGGTGTTGGAACAAAGACAGAAATCACTGTAAGATCTGGCACGCTCTGTGGAGAGAAAGCAGAGTTAAATGTTTCAGGTCCAGTGATCCTGTTCCACTTTCTCTCCACAGATGCTACCAGACCCATTGAGTTTTTACAGCAATTTATGCTTTTGTTTCTGATTCACATCCCTTGTGTATGGATTTGTTAAGGTATATGCAGTAGAATCGTAGAATCACACTTCACAACAGCAGGCCATTCAGCCCACTGTGCCTGTCCTGGTTCATTGAATGAGTGACCCATTTGCTCCACCTCCCCCCATCTCTTTCCCAAAACCCTGTGATCATCTTAACTCTGTCTCCTCTGTTGACCGAGAGAGCACCTTCTCCTCATTTACTCAACAAAGCATCTCGCCACGTTGAATCCCTCTCCACAATTTCTCCTTCACTCCCTCTGCTCAGAGGAGAATAACTGCAGCTTTTCTCAGCTCTCTGCCCAACTGGAGCTGGTTGGGGGTGGGAAGAGGGGTGGTTGTTGTTGGGGTGGGGGAGGGAGCCATGTTCCTGTTGGACACCATTCTCAATCTCATCCTCATCAATTGCGAATTGGCCCACTTAACAGTTTCAGGTCAGCTATTGTTTCGTTGATGTGTGTAGAGGGGAACTCAGCACCAATAATCCGTCATCCGCCATACACCACATACCCCCCCCC